ACCCCAAAAGCCATCTGATCCTGCACGATTTCCATAATTTGGTTCCTCAACATGACATTGGGATCATATGGAATTCTTACAGGCTGATTAACCGGTTGATTTGCATGAGGTCTGATGTTTGGTCCTTGATTGGCAACAAAATTACCATAATTAGGGCCATTACCATTAGCCTGGACATCTGTTCCCTCATTACCACGTGGAATATTCTGTCCATTGTTTAGGACATTATCTCTCACGTTTGGACTACCCCCCAAGTTAGGCATGCCATTACCATTGTTTTGATTTGGCACTGTAGTACCCCCTTGGTTTGAAGTAGAGGGACCAGAAAGCGGTTCTACCCCTTGATTCGGATTTAGGACAGAGGGATTATGTCCCACAATTGTCCTGATTTGAAAGTGGTTCATAAGAGGTATAGCCGGTTGACATATTTGGCCTACTAACTTATTCATTGTTTCGTTAACGTCTTTAGCTGTTTGGCCATATTGTCATAGTGTGCATTTTCATTTTGTGTAAATCTTTCCATATTATGAATACTTCAAAGATTTACCTGTTCAACGACGTCTTGCGTGAGTTCTCCAAGCAATGCATGCATGGTTCGAGGACTCAACTCCGTCATTGGTTCGTAACGACTGTTACTGCTCTGATTTTGTCCATCTGTTCGTGGAGAGGCATGCTGCTCCTCATATCGCTCGATTACAGACTATATTCCTCCCTGACTTGCTCCTTTCTTGTCGGATCTTTGAGGCATATTGTTTCACCTTTTATACTTTCAACACCTAACACCACTGTCCCACTGGGCGTGCCAAATTGTTTCGCGCGGGTTAAGTCGTTAACAATTAAAAAGGATCAGACAATTGTGTAAGGGACGAAACCTCTTGAGACAAAGTCCCAAAAAGGGGTGTTCTTTTATTGGCGATGAACTTTACAATTGGAAACGAAAAACAACGTGCCTCCAAGGGGCGCAAGCACACGAGTTACTGAAAGAAAAGTGTTTAAATCTAA